CTGGTAGGTACATTTTGTTACCTTTGGGCAGAGCCAAGCCAGCTGTTTCCCTTTTCCAGTCTTTGCACTAAGCTAACCGGCTGCTGGTTATAGCTCCATATTTACAGACAGATGTGAGAGAGGGTAATCAATCCTCTAATCTAACTCTCAGCAAGAAAGTGAACAAGTTTATTTTCCAAAATCTTGAACTGTTCCTTTAAGGAGTGTTTTTCAGAGGGCCTGTAATATGCACGTGGCTGCAGGTCCTTAATTAGTTTGTGGGACCTAAGTGCACTGGACATGAGGTTGTGCTGTGTGAGGCTGTGAAGGTGGCTGAGCAGCTGTCATGTTATATGTGTACATGCAGTTCTGAGGGAAGTCATGCTGTTACTGTTACAGGGAGGGTCTGATGAAATAATATGGTTCACTCAGTCAGACAGCACCATCAATCACACCTCCGCCCTTTGATTCTTCAGGAGTGGCTCTCTCATTACCACTGTCTGTGCAGCAACAGAGAAGCTCATCGAGTTTAAAATAAACAGACAGCTCAAGGTACAGAACATTAGGTCTTTTCAGTTAAGGACAGCCGAATAACAAACCACACTCGGCTGAGCTCCAGCCACGATTTCTCATTTTCTATAGAGAGTGGGCTCATGTTTGATCTACAATGGATGTGCTTTGCAAAAGAGATGCACAGTTGATGTGATTGTCTTGATTTAACAAAAGCCGCCACTGAGATGGGAGGTCCTTCACTTTAATTAGCAGCTCATGAAGACAGCTCAGACTCAAATATTCATTAGACCGAATCGCACACTTTGGAGCTGGGTGATGAAACAGGCAGTCAGCTCTTTGAACCCTATTTTTATCATTTTAAAGTCGTTGTACTACATAACATATCCAGAAAATTTAAAACGAAAGTGTTCAAATTTTTCAGTTCAATGTGTTGCTCATCTTTGACTGCGATTGAGAATATTTTGGTTTCTTTTTGACTTTTTGGATTTCTTAAGAAAAACAAGCAGTTCTTTTTAGATTTGTAATTCTTCCTTATCCTTTAACATCCATTTTATTTATTGAAGACATATGAATTTTACACTGAGTGAAATATTTCAAACCCAAGAATCTGTTTTAATGGCTGCAACTGTACCACTCCATCAAATGGAAATATTCAAGAAGTCTAATGCATAATTTTATAAACATGTAACCCCAAAATCAGCACCTTATGTGAGATTTGCACGTTTTGAGCTGGTTTGTACGAGGAGACGGATGGGATGGCGGATGGAGTGTCACCCAGGCCACATGCCTGCCAAGCTGCAGACCACTGCTCGAGACCAACAACACCAATTGTTTTATGGTGATCCTTCGCAGAGTTTCCACCGGTGTTTGTGGCACCAAACCCGGCTGTTTTTAGCGGTGCATCACTGCATTTCTAGCAGCAAACCTGAGTGTTTTTCACCCAAATTCCCAAGGACGGAAATGGGTGTTTTTACCAACACATCGCAGCATTTCCCAGCGGCATTTGAGCCACCGAACCTTGGTGTTTTTTACTTTCCCGTCCCTGTTTTTCTAGCAACCTTTGTTGCTACCACCAAACGTGGGTATATTAAGCCAAAACATGGAGTTGAGCTTAATCCTAACCACATCTTCACCACAGTCTTGAGATACCCAGTAGCTTAATGGTTAGAGCAGGCATCCCATGGGCAAAGGCATTGTCCATGCTGCAGCAGCCATAGGTTTGATTCCAGCCTGCAGCCATTTGTTGCATACCATCCCCCCTTCATGCTTCATCTATCCTATCAAATAAAGGCAAAAAAAAAAATAATCCACAAATACAAAAAAAAGTTTCAGCATATCCGCTACAAAATAATGTACAAATGTAAAGTATCCTTGGTTTGCAGAAACTTAAAATGTGATGATTGGGTTGAAATCAGCCGGGCATATTTAGTAGCTTTTGCAAAATTTTGGAACTTTACTGCAATTTAACATAAAGCTCTGAAAGATAAAGATAACGCACAGCATTAGTTTGTAACAACTGGCCTATTGGTCAAAATAAATGACTACATAAATAAATCCTAGAAAACATTTAAGAGTTGGCTATAGAGGACATTGAGAATACAGTTCAGACTTTCAAACCTGTAAAAAGATGGACAGAGTAATCCTTAAAAAAAGATCCCAGTAACGTGTGTGTGTGTGTGTGTGTGTGTGTGTGTGTGTGGGAGATAACTGAATGTGCACAGTGTCTGTTTGTGTACGACAAACCTCCATGCAGGTGTCATATCATATTTGCACACTCTGTGCGTACATCACTGCTTGTTCTTGGCTTCTTGTTTTATAATGTTGGCTTTGATAACAGTATTTGGCTGCACTTGTTATGGAAGTTGCACTGGTACTCTGCAGCACTTACGTAAATGTGTTTATAGTAGGGACCATAAAATAGCACCACATTATTGTGCTTTTAACATATCCGGATGTCTATAAATTGCTTAACCTCGTGTTTTTGGAGACCAGTTTGTATGTGATATGAGATGGTGTTTACGGGGTTAGTCAGCATGCTCTCTTTATTTGTCGCCATCTATGAGCGTGTGTATCGGATGATATCCCTTAAATCTACAATAATATTCAAACAACTGTCTTCACTGATTAATCTGTGAAGAATATCAGTGAATAACCTATTTTAACAAGGACAAACTTTGTATACCATCACTGTATGTGTAGGTCATGTTCAAAGACAAATGTATGGAGACATACAGTAAACAGTTGATCTGCCAGTGTACACATATTAAAAGGGTATTAAAGTCAACCTCTTCAGATGTTATGAAATGGCATTTTCCCCTTATATAATCACGTGTTAACTGGGTTCAGTCTTAGTCACGGGATTTTCATAAATGGACCCAGAGACGACACGGAGGTCAGGACCCAAAGCTCGTCTGCACGGGGACAAAATGTCAAACATACACAGACAATGTGCACATGCAGGCATTATGTTGCTCATGCAGATGGCTTCTTTCAGTGCTTTTTGTGACCCAAAAGAGAGAAAAGCGTTTCACTTGTACATTTGGGAGCATTTAGCTGGCACACTTTTCCAAAGCGACTTACAGAGAGTGACCTCCAGAACACTTTGACAGGACACGTGACGTGATGGACTTTTAATGGAGACGCTGGCTGTTGATCTCATGGTTACAGGACAGTCTGATCACCCAGCTGCCCCTTTACTGTCTCTGTAAGATTAAAGGGATAGTTCAGATTTTTTTAAGTGGGGTTGTATATGGTACTTATCCATAGTCAGTGTATTACCTACAGTAGGTGGTGGTCAACGTGCCCCAAGTTTGGAGATGCAGGCAGGAGTGCCACCACGGAAGCTAAGAAATGTACTGCTGTGGATGGGGGCCGCAGCAAAACAAATTTTAACCACTTAAAAAGCCTTTTTTTAAAAAACAAAATAAACAAGTTTAAGTGAACGCTATATTTAAATACCTAGCCACAGACAGCCCCCTTTCCAACAGGGAACTGAAGCTGTTATATCACTGCCTTCAAAGCCAGAATCAACTGAGAAAAACAGTAATTTTACCTCACTGAACACAGGAGCTACTGGCCAACCGCTGCTCGATCAGTTGGTTTGTTTGTGTTATTGTGTGACTTTGATGTTTTAATTGGTTAGTTTAGATTCATGTAAGTCACACAACAACACAAACAAAATAGCTGATTGAGGCAGCAGTAGACCAGCGGCTCCCATATTCAGCAAGGTAAAATAACTGTTTTTGTCAAAGGAATTTGGTGGCTTTGAAAAGAGTGATATGATGGCTTCAGTTTTCTGTCAGAAATGGCTTTCTGGTGGTGAGGTAAAATGCTGATACACGTACATACACGTAAACTAATATTGGTTGTTTTGAGTGGGACTTTTTTTTTGGTGGCTAAAAAACATTTTCCTGCTGTCCCCATCCAGGGACTGCCAACCACCATCTCCTGCAGGTAATACACTGACTATGGCTAAGTACCTCACACAACCACACTTCAAAAAAAATTCAAACCATCCCTTGATCTCCCTCTCAAGTGTCTTCATAAACTCCAGTTGGTCCAGAATTCAGCTGCCTGTATCATTACCAGAACCCCCTCTATAGATCATATAACTCCTGTTATTCAGCACCTTCACTGGCTTCCTGTTAAACATCACATCGATTTTACGATTCTGCTTCACACATACTGCTTCACATATATTGAGGCTTGCACAGATGATGACTTCATAATGATGATTTTATACCTAATATTTCTAATTACGATTTTTGTCTAGTCATTTTATCAATTTATTATTGTATTTTACAAATTTGTTTGACTTTATGATCTATGGATATATTGTTTTTTTTAAGTGCATCTTGTAAGGTGTCTTTGAGTGCTTTGAAAGGCACCTATAAATTATTATTATTATTATTAACATTAATGATGATAAACAAACAACATTTTTCTCTGCTGTCAGAAAATACAGAATTATTGATAAGATTATTGACTGTCCAATCATTTGTGATTGTTGAACTGTCTTGCGTGGATGATACATTTAATCTGCTCAGTACAGACCAATGTGCAGAGAAAACATGTACACACTGCCTGTTAGTGATGTACAGTAGCATTAAAAGCTTAGTTACTAAGATCTACATAAATGATGAAAGTAACCAGTGTTTATTTGCACATTTAAAGTGATAAGAAACAATACAGTTTTGAACAAAAAGTGATGTGTCTCCTCTTTGGGTGCAATAAATAAAGTTCACACAAATTCCTGCAACATAAATACAACATGAAAACACTTGATTATTTGTACAAAGAATATTGCTGCTGTGTTGATACCTCACATAAAACAAGTAGTCGTAAGAACTTGTAAAAAATGAATCACTGCTCATCCTCGTCATAAATCGGTCATTTCTGAGATAATGTTTACCTGCAGATAGATCTTTATGCTGATTATATTGTAATGACTTACTGTTCAAGTATAATGTAATATTTGTGTTCATTATTTTTTGATAAAATATGTGCATACAATGATTACAGATAAAAAGTAAAGTTGCTTTAGTTGCTAGTAAAAACAAAATGTTCCTTATGAGATCAGTAACTTTATCGCTGTTTGTCACATCATAATAATAATTCAAGAACCTACGTCCATTAGCATCTTTCTAGTATTGTTTGAGTGTAATCTTTATATAAAATCATAAAAGTATGTCAGGTTTTAAACACCATTCAATTCTTGATGCTGTAACTTAACTTTTACTGTATGTAAATAAAGGTTACAGACAGTCATCGAGTTCTGCGGATCACTTTTTATCTTGTAGCTCTAATAGTCCTGCAGGTTGTTAATGCTGTGGCACAATAGTGAGGTATATCTAATTAAACTCTTCTGGAATCTGTCCTGGTATTCTGAAACAAGTCTGCCCAGTTTGATCCAAAGTGCTTCTGGGGCTGGATGTGGCAAAGCTTGCCTGTGTCTCCACAGTGCAGCTGGTCCTATGGAGGAACTGCAGGAAGTTCTCGTTGCCCGAGCCCTCATGGCTGGAGACGGCCAGCTCCACTGGCCGAGCTGAGTAGCAGCGTCGCAGCTTACAAAGCTCCTCCCTGATCTGCCGGTTAAGAAGCCCATAAAAAAATGGGTTAATGGCAAAGGAGGCATACGCCAGCCACATGACTGTTTCCTCCAGGTCATAGGGAATGGTGAGTGTTGGGTCTAGCGTCAGATGGAGGTGAAAGGCAAAGTAAGGCAGCCAGCAGATCAGAAACTGACCAACAATAACCACCAGAGTGAAAGCAGCTTTACTTCCACCAAAAGGCCGGTCACGCATAATCCTACGTGGGGCGTTGCGGGTAGTGATGATGGTAGTTTGGCTGTTTATTGAGTCAGAGCGATGCTTCACTTGACTGTGTGTCCACAAGGGCAGAGGTCCATGCTGGCGGGCAGCCACACGGGCCACCTTGTACACGTTACAGTAGACGGCAAAAATCACAACAGCAGGCAGACAGAAACAAGTGACACTGAAGAACACAGAGAAGATTCGTCTGTGCTCACTGTAGCTCCAGTGCAGCGAGCAGTGTGCAGCACTGATGGAGCTCAGGCTGGTGTAAGACGACCACCCAAACACAGTGGACAACCCCAGCACAGCAGAGGCCACCCACACCATCACTATCACCGCTGCAGTCAGCTTCAGAGTCATCTTGACCTCATAACGCATGGGGTGGACGATGTAGTAGTAACGCTCCACGCTGATGGCTGTGATGGTGAAGATTGAGGCAGCTATGAGGATTGCATTGAGGAAGACGTAGACCTGGCACTCCAGCACAGTGAACACCACACCGGCAAAGTACGGAGAGCTGGATACAATCCCAAGAGGCATGAGCAGGATGGCACACAGCAGGTCCACTGCACACAGGTGGCACACAAAGGCAAACTTCCTGAGATGAGGAGCTTTCATGACAACGACCAGAACAGCAGTGTTGGCGAGAAGTGCCAGAACATTCAGGGTCACCATGAAAAATATCCCTGTCAGGTCCTTGAAATGTGTCTGCGAGCTGGGAAGGGTGCCCAGCTGTCTGCTGGGAGCTGAGGGCATCAGTGCCCAAACTGCGGCGCTGTCATTGGACCCAGAGTTCAGAAATGAACTGTTTTCCTCCATGATTCATAGCAAAGGTTTCAAAGTAAAAGCACACATTTGTGTTCCAGAATCCCCCATTGTCCAGTCATAAGGCCGAGGAATACTTCAGACATACTCTTCACTCCTGTGTTAGAGAAAATGAAATCCATTAGACCATCAACATTTATGGCAAATCATGTTCAGTAGAGACTATATTATGTTTAAACCTGAAATATATATTTTTAGCCACTTGCAGCAGTGTGTGTGTGTGCAGCAGAAACAAGCTGTAAACACAGCACTGACACATTATCACCATTAACGTGGAAAGTTTAGCATGCTAGCAAATAGGTTCACATATCCTGGATATCTAGCAGATACAGAGTGACATGAGCATTGATTTGGAGTCACCCTAACACCATTCATTTGCACACACTCTCCACACTGTGGTGACACAGACCTGGTTGAAAATCAGCAAAGTATCCCTTTAAATGTACAATATGTAATTTTCTGCCACTGGGTGTCCCTGAGTCAAAACAATAAGAAAAAGCGGAGCAATGTCATCATCTTTGCAGTCAGTTTCTCCTGGTTACAATTCCTTCATTGTTCATTATTCAGTGGGTTTTTACCAGGATCCGAATTACCCGCACTCCTCACCAAAACAAACACTGCGTACGAACAAAACGAAGCCTGAAAGAGGTGTACGCCACCTCCCATGCAAAAGCAGTGATCCATAAAAACAGAGTTGATGGGAAAAACTTTGACCCATGCTTATGAACATTTTGGAGACAGGAAACTGGCAATGCAGATGGTGAGGGGTCATGGTGGGGCTGAAGCCTATCCCAGCTGACATAGGGCGAGAGGTGGGGTACATCCTGGACAGATTGCATGAACTTACATATTTACATTTCTTTGAACATTGTTGGAAATTTAGGATAACGCAAGTACACAACTCAACAAAATATATGACAATGGACTAACTGTTTTTAGACATTTCAACACAGAAAAGTTATCCTCCTGAGACACGAACTTTTGTTTGGTATGCATTTTTAGTTTCTCCTAGCTATTTTGGATCAGTAGGACCTGATAAATTAAAAATAAAAAAAAATTGTCAAGTCCCAAAATCCTCAAACGAGACGATAATAAAGTCCCAATGTCTTCAAACGAGTACTTCCTAATAAACAGCGTCTTAGCTTGTTACTGTTGCTAATATGGTCAAATTTGTTGCCATATCAAACTACAAACATTAGTAATCATAAATAAACAAGTTTCTATCTAAAAAGTGATCAGGTTTATGACCTTGTCCACTTTTGTGTCGGGATCGGCTGCAGATTGACTTGGCAGAGATGGCTGCCATCTTGTTTTTACATGGATTAGTGTATTGTGCTCTTACTACCACTAAATGGCACAAAAAAGTGTCCATGAATGAGGACAACAGGTCTAAGTTAAGAAGAATGAAGTATAAGGTCAAGTAAACCCAAAATGTGACGTCCTCATATGAGGACACAGGGTCTCAGGAGGATATAACATCTGTAAGCCATGTTCATCTTGCTCTGGGAAGGGCACACACAGTTCTCGCTAATGTATCAAAACACAAATTTGAATTGATTACACAGATATCATATTACACACTGTACTGACTCTCATTTTATTCATTATTATTCATCCCACCATTAGTGCCTGATATCAAATGTGTAAATATAAACATTCACAGATCCCGACAACCTTCAAGAGAACACACACACACACACACACACACCTTAAAAGTATTGGAAAGTTAATCGATAACTGTTTGTGAGAATATCTAAGAAGGGATGCTCTCTCAATCTTTTAGTGCAGGCGGGACATGATCAATAGGAATAATTCATGGAGGACACCCTGTCTCTCCTCCATCCGTCCCCATCCTTTTGAAATGAAACATAATGAGTGTGCTTGTTTTAGCCCAGCTGCAGGGAACTGGCTGCATTGATTAGTATGTGTTCAGTGTCACCCTGCACCGCACCATCAAAGAGGAAATCTCTTGGACAGGTTCGACTCCTGATCATTGCGTTGTATTGTAAAATTCAACCAGAGCACACTGACTGAATATATATTATGTGTTTACTGTACAATTCCCATCCTTTCCTTCTCACTGCAGAGCCTTTCATGTGCCTTCCTCACACATGTACCATCTTGTACTGATATTCATAATCAGGTTTCAAACATATGACTGTAGAGGATGCTGTGTCCTAAATACATGTGCTCGCTGGCTGCCAGTGATCCACTGATGCTCTCCCCCTGCTGTAATCTTCTCTGGTCGACAGCTATTGGCATGCCGCGTTTGCAGTGAGATTTATCCCAGGAAGGACTAGTGCATGTACATTTTCATGCACATTATGTAAGGGTGTCCTCGTTTTTCACCACGTTCCTGTTTCTGCATACGCTACATCTTTAACTCCACATTTTACTAATGAAGTGGACGATCATTTCCAGTTTATTTGTTTCCCTAAAACAGTTTGTAATAATTAATTCAACAGAGAAACGTGCAGTGGATTCTGCCTCTGCTGCAGTTTTTCTCCGTTTCTACTTTTTTTTCAACATAATAATGAGGATGAGGGAATTATGCAGGTCTTTTAATCCCTCTTAAATCAGTGTTACAGAGCATTTTAGCCTGTACAGACAAACCCCATAATCCCACCCTTTGTTACGACCTTCTTAATCATGTTAATAACCAATTGTAATGCATTCAAGTTGATGTATGCCAAGTGATTACCATTCCTTTCATATCAAACTATAAGCATTAAATACAGAAATATTTCAGTGGCTAAATGGGTTATTGTATTGTAATGTAAAAAAAAAAAATAAACTTTTTGTTTCAGTAGATGTAGCTTGAAGATTTTGAAAAAGATGTTTGAAAAAGTGCCATTACTGTATATAGCAACTTGCTGATGGAAATACGCTGCTTGTATCATCATGTCAACGTTGGCTGCAAAAACATCCATCTCTACCCATGTGTGATGAGTGGATGAGTCATTACAGCACTTTTTTCTCTGGCTTTTTATTCGTAATGCTAAAAGTTTATGTTAAAGTACCAATAGAAATCTTTAATAGTTTTTAGATACCACTGGTTTATAACATCATCATTTCCCTCAAGAGTGTTCTTAAATACTCTAATGCTCTTGTGTTAAGATAACAGATTAAATTGTTGTTTTATTGTGGATTTAAGGTCTCTCTCGTAAAAGCATTTTCCATCTCAATGGGAACTCCTGGTTGAATAAAGGTTTAATAAATAGATAAATAAATTTTGACTGCGAATCAGTGTATGACTTATAACATTGACTTCAATTTTGTTGACTCAAATATCTTGTCTCAGTCCTTCAAACACATACATGGTGCTCAAACTATTTTGTTGGTAATTCTTAAGCCTCGTGTTTATTCTAATGTCAGTCTCAGACATATTTAACAGAGAAATGTTGGAAGGATTAATAAGAATGTTGCAGAGCTAAACCTCTTAGAGACTGGAAGTGATTAGAAAAACCTTCAAGAGCCAGCTATGTTTTTTTCTGTAATTATCAAAAGCACTAAATATGCTGTCAGCATTTTTATTCCTTTAATATCATTATTCCTTACTAAAACAAAAACTTACCAAGTAACTTACATTTTGAAAATTGGCTGTTGCTCCTCCGCAAAGTTTTTCTGAGTTTTCTAAAGCTGAGTACGTCCAATTCATGACGATGACTCTTCTCTGGATCCTGTAAAAGCACCAAACTCAGAGCTCGGGTGGTGTCTCCAGGTGTGTAAGAGTGTCGGTCCACCTTGCAGAGATCTTTGCAGGAGCGATTAAAAACTGTGGGAGAAATGGAAGATTTCCCAAAACAAGTAGACACGAGCCTTCAGTAAAGGACCCCAGGGAGAGCTGACGCTGGCAGAGAGAGAGAGGTGATGAGCTGTGTGTCCACTGAGACAGCACAGCTGGCTGGGTGAAAGGAGGGGGGGAGGAGCCAGCAGTTGGTGATTGTTCAATCATCTATCAAGACAAGACGACTCTATCAAACCGCCACCCTCTGACATTAACCATGTCCCACACACACACACTCTTTCATCAGTCAGTATGTGGCAGTGACTGTCACACACTGTCCACTATGCTTTGTCCTTACAGATGTTCCTCTATTCTCCTCCTCAGAGCTTCTGAGAACACACACACACACACACACACACACACACACACACACACACACAGAGTGAAGTATCGGTTGGACTTGCTCAGTCAATTTAAACACTTCTCTCTTCTTACAATGGAGTTAATCTTATTAGAAAGCAAGAAATTGCAACCTTAGTTCGATTACAGCTTTTGAGAGTTGAGCATGAAACAGGGCTCAGCGCTGACATCTGTTGGCTGCTGTGGAAAACAAAACTCCCATGTGAACATACTGTACTTCATTGTGCTGATGTAAGAAAGGATGCGAGTGAAGATAACAGAGGGATGTTAGTTCTAAACGTTTATTGGCCCGTACACAGTGAAGCACAACAAACAGAGAAGTCAAATGATTGATGCTGTTAATGCAATAAGATTAATTATCAATTACAGTATATTCTGCAGCTGCAAAAGAACTACTCTAAGAACACAGTATCACTTGATGTAGTGGACAATTTGTCATGAGCAACAGGGTACAAATGGCACCTCTATCATTTGAAACATTTTCAAACGTCCTACTTTTGAAACACACAAAGGCCAGCTGTTTAAAAAGTATAAATATTTGACAGAAACTGACTTCACAGACTCACTTAGACACATCCACTTTCTACCTCAAATTAAATAAGAACACTTGTTTGTTTTACCACCGATGATTACACACAGGACATTTTATAGTGCTATTCGACGTATTGGTTCAGTCACCAGGTAAACTTTCCGGACACACGACAGACAAAGCTGTAAAAAAGAAGGAATTCTAGAAAGTGTTTAAAAAAATAACTAATTCAAGCACTAGGTTTTATTACATAATAAACTACAGGTGGATTAAAAAAAGGCAACCTGTCACACATTTCTATCAGACGAGGAAAAACTGGTGACCAGCAGATGAAGGCAGGCTCAGGGGGTTATAACTGAGAGTCGTTTCCCATCGCTCCGTTTTCAGGCAGGAGAGAAGCATCTTGGCAAAAGCTCTGCTCAATAAGAGCTTTGCTTTCAGCTTTAGACAAACCCAGTCTCTTCTTTAACAGTTTGTCCTCGTTATTCAACTTTGTGCGGATTGCAGTTTTTATTTGGATGTTATCGATGCCGAACTTGGCTGCCACGTGATCTGGAAGAAGACACATGGTAAAAAAACTGTAATCTCTTTTTTGAATTATCAATATACAAAGATGGTCTGTGGGTGTGAAAAGTCCAATGATCTCTATCTTACCGATTATACTTCTCAAGATATCGGGTGGGAGTTGAGGCTTGTGGCATTCCTCTCCAGTGAAGGTGCTCCTCCGGCCCTGCAGAGAGTGTGTGGCCAACGTTTGCCTGTCAAAAATGATCATCAGCAGTGCTGACGTGTACTTCTTGTAGTCTGCGATCTCTGCGATGCGCTCGTAAAGATTTTTTGGTACTCGGAGATTCTCGGAGAGATACAAGAAGGTGTGATCATCCTGAGGACACAAATAAAAAAAAAGTTAGCTATAAACATACTCGGATGCTTTAATGGCTGAATTTGACACCACCATGTTTGACTTTGTCTAATTAAGTTTAAAAACTATCAAAGTCTTGACACAGAAGCACTGACATAATTAGTCTTACTATAATAACAGAATTCAAGTGAACCGAGCAATCTTGCCAAAACTGTGTTAAGACTGTGTTATTATACAACATGGAGTGTGAGCACTGACCTCTGGGAAATTATGAACCTGTCTCATCTCCGCCTCGGGCTCAGACAGGAAAGAAACAGTCTCGTCCTGAGAGTTCTGCGGTGCTGCCGCATCGCCTCCTTGGAGAACGTGATCCAGAGTGACTCGCAGCTCATGTGCTGTGTGCCTCATCTGCATCATAAGAGTGTTCATCTCTGTAAAGCAAAAGTGTCAAACCACTTTAGACATGCTAAAGCAGATTGAGTTTATTTATAGAGTAATTAAAAGTATTAGATGGCATGTTTACAGCGTAAGCTCAGGGCCAATTAGCCAGGACTTTAGCAGAATCCGTCCCACCTCAAGAACTATTGACATGCCAACATCCAAACTCATAAAGGTGTCTGATTAAATTTAAAACTTTTGTTGAACTGTACTGTTCTATTTTTAGCTCTTAAATTGTGGTCAAAATGCCATATAAAAGCTTTTTTTTTTACTAGGGAATAAGTGCAATTTGTCAACTGGTCAATTAAATGTTGCTACCATCACTATTCACCGCCAAAAATACAAGTCAATTAAACTTATTATTAAAATCATTGTTATTTTATGCAATTGTGCACACACCCAATGAAAGTTATTTTAATAATCAGGCACGTTTCCTATAGATTTATCATTATTAATAAATGTTATTTGTTAACTGTTATTTAGTCACTTAATTTTAGTGAGTTGTCATGTTGTTTAGGATAATATGCAATTTTCATAACGCACAGTGCAAAGTGTCACACAATTCAGCAGATTTGTTTACTGAAAAATGGGATCAACGATTTTAAATGGGGGCGGCACGGTTGTGTGGTGGTTAGCACTGTCACCTCACAGCAAGAGGGTTCCTGGTTCGATCCCAGGAGGGAGCCCTTCTGTGTGGAGTTTGCATGTTCTCCCCATGTCAGCGTGGGTTTTCTCCGGGTACTCCGGCTTCCTCCCACAGTCCAAACACATGCAGGTTAATTGGTGACTCTTAATTGGCCGTAGGTGTGAATGTGAGTGTGAATGGTTGTCTGTCTCTATGTGTCAGCCCTGTGATAGTCTGGAGACCTGTCCAGGGTGTACCCTGCCTCTTGTCCAATGTCAGCTTGGATAGGCTCCAGCCCCCCCGCAACCCTCATGAGGACAAGCAGTTACGAAAATGGATGGATGGATGGATTTAAAATGGCTCTCATAAAACACACAATAGTTTTTTTACCCTAACAGATGAAACGCTGCTAAATTTTGACTGTTTTCTGAGTCTTTTCTTACTTTAAGACTAGTGGATTAGTCTTTGTTTAAACTTTTGTTTATTAGTCACTGGGATCATTCCGGTTTTCTTTTTTCCTGGAATTTTTTTTTTATTCTTTTTTGCCTTTAATCACAGGACAGTTTTGAAGTGTGAAAGAGAGAGAGAGATAAGGGACGGGCTAGAACCGAACCCACGGCCTCAGCCGCAAGGACACTAGCCCTTGTACAGTACAGGCCAAAAGTTTGGACACACCTTCTCATTCAATGCGTTTTCTTTATTTTCATGACTATTTACATTGTAGATTCTCACTGAAGGCATCAAAACTATGAATAAACACATGTGGAGTTATGTACTTAACAAAAAAAGGTGAAATAACTGAAAACATGTTTTATATTCTAGCTTCTTCAAAATAGCCACCCTTTGCTCTGATTACTGCTTTGCACACTCTTGGCATTCTCTCCATGAGCTTCAAGAGGTAGTCACCTGAAATGGTTTCCACTTCACAGGTGTGCCTTAATTCATATTATGGCAAGAACCAATCAGCTAACTAAAGAAAAAAGAGTGGCCATCATTACTTTAAGAAATGAAGGTCAGTCAGTCCGGAAAATTGCAAAAACTTTAAATGTGTCCCCAAGTGGAGTCGCAAAAACCATCAAGCGCTACAACGAAACTGGCACACATGAGGACCGACCCAGGAAAGGAAGACCAAGAGTCACCTCTGCTTCTGAGGATAAGTTCATCCGAGTCACCAGCCTCAGAAATCGCAAGTTAACAGCAGCTCAGATCAGAGACCAGATGAATGCCACACAGAGTTCTAGCAGCAGAACCATCTCTAGAACAACTGTTAAGAGGAGACTGCGCGAATCAGGCCTTCATGGTCAAATAGCTGCTAGGAAACCACTGCTAAGGAGAGGCAACAAGCAGAAGAGATTTGTTTGGGCCAAGAAACACAAGGAATGGACATTAGACCAGTGGAAATCTGTGCTTTGGTCTGATGAGTCCAAATTTGAGATCTTAGGTTCCAACCGCCGTGTCTTTGTGAGACGCAGAAAAGGTGAACGGATGGATTCCACATGCCTGGTTCCCACTGTGAAGCATGGAGGAGGAGGTGTGATGGTGTGGGGGTGTTTTGCTGGTGACACTGTTGGGGATTTATTCAAAATTGAAGGCACACTGAACCAGCATGGCTACCACAGCATCCTGCAGCGACATGCCATCCCATCCGGTTTGCGTTTAGTTGGACAATCATTTATTTTTCAACAGGACAATGACCCCAAACACACCTCCAGGCTGTGTAAGGGCTATTTGACCAAGAAGGAGAGTGATGGAGTGCTGCGGCAGATGACCTGGCCTCCACAGTCACCGGACCTGAACCCAATCGAGATGGTTTGGGGTGAGCTGGACCGCAGAGTGAAGGCAAAGGGGCCAACAAGTACTAAACACCTCTGGGAACTCCTTCAAGACTGTTGGAAAACCATTTCAGGTGACTACCTCTTGAAGCTCATCGAGAGAATGCCAAGAGTGTGCAAAGCAGTAATCAGAGCAAAGGGTGGCTATTTTGAAGAAACTAGAATATAAAACATGTTTTCAGTTATTTCACCTTTTTTTGTTAAGTACATAACTCCACATGTGTTCATTCATAGTTTTGATGCCTTCAGTGAGAATCTACAATGTAAATAGTCATGAAAATAAAGAAAACGCATTGAATGAGAAGGTGTGTCCAAACTTTTGGCCTGTACTGTACATGTGGTGCCTGCCCTACATACAGAGCTATTGGGCACCGTCTACACGTATTTACAGTTATGTAATGAATAATAATCCACATGCTTCACAGGTAACTGAATTTCTAAGAATTTCAAAGTAAGTTTTGTGAAATGTGGGAATATAGAAATGTCCTTGAAAGGAAAGCTCAAATGAAACACGGATAAATATGAATTAATTTGTCATTAATGACTGGAGACTTAATTCTCCGAATATTTTAAATGCTATGCTCACCTATAGCATAGAAACATGTAAATTCTTTGCATCCTCCGCTGATCTGCTACACACTGACTCTCAACTTGTGTAGGTTACACTTGTTATTAATTATGACTATTTGATTGGAAGTGTAACAATTAAAATAACAATTAACTATTTTATTTGGCGCAGCCTCTAGCTCTGCAAGTAAAGTGTCCGCCCCATGCAGGCTGAGTCCTTTGCAGCGGCTGTGGTTTGATTCCAACCTGTGGCTCTTTGCTGCGTGTCACCCCAGTCTCTGTCCTGTCTTTCCAGTCTAACTGTTCACCTTGCCTATTATTTAGTGCCATATTAAACTGTTTTTTTTTACTGGTGACTGGCTGCAATTAGAAATTACGGACGCTACAGCATTGCCTGTCATGTCTTATTCTTTTTTTGAGTTGTTTAGGTCTAAAAAAATAATAGAATCAACCTTGAAAAGCCCAACATGTGTGTAATATGCCATGGCTCTGAGCGCAGTGAGTCACATACAGTGAATAGACTGTGTGGTCTTGACAGGTATTTTTTTTTAGCATATTAATTAATAAATTAGTCATCATCTCTTTCCACCCACCTTTCAGTTCCCTCAGCTCTCTCTCAGCCAAAATTCTACATCTGCGCTCGTATTTGAGTTGTGCCTGCAGTTGCTCTATTTTCATGAGGAGGCTGATGGTGTCTGTCCTGATGCCTGGGCTTGCAATATTTTCTTCATCAAAGTCAATGGCTTCCTGTTGCCAAATGAGAAGAAATCACATGAACAATTGCCATGTGCAGTATGGGGACACAACAGATTTCATGCACAATTAAAGAGTTAAGAGCAGCCCTTACCTCATTGTTAGGGAAAGGTGAGTAGCTGGCGTCTTCAGCCAGCCTGGACTTATCATCCATTGGATCACAGCCAAACTCCTGTGCATCAGTGCCGATTTTTATCATCTTGGCTGCAGGTAGTGTTGGAGTCGCTGCTGCTTCTCTCTTGGGAGGCATGGGGGTTAACCGGGATCTGGAGAGAGTAAAGGTTTCATCAGTTGACACGTCTAACACAGCTTTCCTGTACGAGATGGAGTGAAACTTTGAGTCAAACTTTTTTCACTCGCTTACACGTTGCTTGTTCATTTTTCAGCGAGTCATTCGAGACAAAAAATATAAAGTTAGTTCACGTCGCATCCCCCCTCCTCCCCCTGCCTCCTCAACCCCTCCTACTAGCTTCCACATTGCCTCCAGCTGGAGCCACTGAGTGACACAAACTGCCTCTCAATACATTATCAAATACATGTCACATATGTCATGTAGGACGGTTCAGAGGAGGCTCACCTCGCAGCTCAGCTCTACTTCGCGGATAAACTGCAACCACACTCACTGAGGACACAGACAGCGCAGTACATGCAAATACTGCGTAGTAGAGGAAGTAGTAGTACTACTGCAGTAGTACAGTACATGGATCCTGATACAATTACGGCTCATTTTTAACAGCCGCGAAAAACGTCTCCGGTTAAATATGTGTGAAATACCGCTCCTATATTTATCTTTTAATGTGCGTGGTACGCGTGTGTATAAGAGTGTTGTGTTACGATATTTATATTTTTACAATTATGTGCGGAACAAAGCTGCGAAAACTTATTCCCCGAGGGAAGTATTTAACACCAGTACAATTTCCTGCGCTTCCAAAATCTTGATTCAACCAATGAAAATCCAGACATCAGAAAAAGGCGGGGCATATAGAAGAAGCTATGAAGATCAGCCAATCAGCGTCTATTGTCGAACGTGACATAAGCTTCCTAGTTCGGTTGCATTGTACCCATGTGGGTTCAATGTTGACTTGCTGCTGTAGAAAGTTGAGGAGTTAACTCTATACAGTTATCGTTTACTTTGAAATTGTGTTTGTCGCCTTTCACCATGTCTTCGCCTTTTTTTGTAAAAGCGAAACAAAATCCTAAATTAGCCAAAAAGGGGAATAATACGCTAAAACGAAAGGTAAGTGAGCTGGACTGTTAGCTAGCGAGCTAAAGTCGAGCAACGTTAGCTAACCAGTGTACTGACACATGCGACTTACCTGCTATAACCAAACGCCTTTTACACAGTAATTTTAATGTAGGCTCGCTGTATGCCATGACAAACCCTCAAGTTTCTTTCTCCTGCTGCAGGCTGATGGGAACTCTGGCGGAAAGAGCAAACTACGAGCCAAGAAACCCAACTCCAAACACAACGAAGAGATTTCCAGCGACTCTGAAACAGAGAGGTTAGTATCTGATGTGCTCACTTGGGCTTTGTAGTCCCGAATGTAAAGCACACAACTAACCCTGCTGTGGTGGTTTTGTTTTTTGTTGCTCAGCCCTGTAGTGCCCAGGAAGAGACAGTCCAATGAGGAGATTGACTATGAGGAAACACCACAGGAGAAGAAACTTAGATTAGCCAAACTTTACCTCGAACAGCTAAGGGAAGAAGGTGAGCTTGGATCATACATATTGCATAGAGATCTATCATTGCTGTTCAAGCCTTTGTGTATTTATCATATGATCTGTTTTTATCAGAGGAAGACAAAGCAGAAAAAGACAACTTTGAGACGGAGCTGATTGCTGGAAGACTTCAAGAAGAAGTGGTAAGAGTTTTCAAGCACATTGTAGAGGAGTTTAATCTCCACTGGGGACATGGGACATATCCCCCTCACTTATGATTATGATCTTTATTCTTCAGTGACAGTATAGTTTCAGTTTGATCATTAAATCACTGTAAGCACTATCCTCTTACTAGACGGCTACCATAATTCAGATGAATGGGCCTCTGCGGAAATAAAAAATGTTTATTTTTGAAGCTATATTTTATCTTAATATGTGGATTTTCTTCCCCTGGTTTGCATTTATCACGCTACATGTAGGCTGCCTGTCTCTATGTTTGACGGAGTTTGTTGGGGCCTTTTTGCAGCCTGAGAGAAAGATCTGCAGACACTTGTCGTGGCTGATAAAATAGGGCTGGACGATTAATCGAATTTTAATCATGATTTCGATTTTGGCTTCTCACGATCATAAAAATATTATAATCGAAGAAAAACGATTAATGCGCCGCACAGCGTGGCATGTATGTAAGTTCCTGTGCTGGAAAAGCACCGTGAATGCACCTGTGTTGCGTGCAGCAGCAGCAAGCATGTGACGTGTGTGGATCAATAATATGTGGAGCAAGCGATTGAGAACATGGCAGAAAGGCAGCCTTTGGTTGAGAAGAAAGGTAGGACAACTTGCGTCATCTGGAAACATTTGGCATCAAGTTGACGGACGTCGAGCAAAAGGAAATTGTTTCCAAAGTTTGTCACGCTGTTGTGTCTGCCCCCCAAGGCAACACGACCAAATGTTTAGCCCATTTGGCTATGGATAATAGTCTATTAAGATATGTTTGAAAGCTCAGAGGCAGGTAGGAGTTTATTTGCCAGCAGAGGTCTGTAATGTTACACCAGTACATTTTGCAATAACACATCATTTCCAATGTTTCTCTCGTTCATATCGGTTTTGATTCGAGGAGGAAACATCAATGCGACTGCCTGATTAAATAAAGATTAAATAAAAATAAAATAAAATAAAATAAAAACTTCAAAGAGGCACATATGTTGTTGCAACAGCTCGACCAACCTGGCCTCCATATTTTTTTCTGCCCACATGATTTGTTGTGTCACCATGGCACTCTCTGATGCTCTGTTTTCCACATTACACATGTGAAGTGAGAAGAATAGGCACTGATCTTGGAGAATGGTCTTGTGGCTCTGCTTCAATTGTGCGAGAGCCTGATGACAGCTGACCAAAATTTCTGACATGTCAGTGATTCATTTAAATGTCTTATGGCCAGTTGGGAACAGTTGATTGGACCATGACCTATCCTCACTCTCCCCCGTACACTGCATGGTAAACGACGCCCAACGAAGCTGGAATTCGGTTCAACTCTGAAACGAGCCGAGTCACGTGGCTCTAAAATGAAGTCAGAAATTGGGCTCAAATTGTGCAATGTATACCCAGCTTTAGACACAGTGTTTATCTTTGGATTTAATATGTTTGATTAGTTGTCAAACACCGGTCTGTGTCATTGATCTTGCTGTGTATGTTATTTTCCCCTCAGCTTGAACAGAAAGGAAAGCTTCAGCGACTTATTGCCAAAGATGTGAGTATGGGAATTTCCATCCCTTTATTCTCGACAGCATGTCCAGTATTCCAAGGGGGAAAAAAACAAGCTGTCTTATAAACAGACCGTCTTTTATTTAACTTTCATTTTGTGTCTCAGCTCATTCCACCAGATGCCTCAGAGATCAGGGTATTAAGAGGACACAAACTTCCAATTACCTGTCTAGTCATCAGCTCTGATGATAAGTACATCTTTTCTGCTGCCAAAGACTGCTCCATCATGAAATGTTAGTATACATTAAAATCCTTTGATACCTCAGATAAATATGTATGAAAAATTAGTGGGAAAACTGAATCGATAAATATGAAAACTGTCTTGTTTCTGAGGCTATGAATGGTTTCCTTATATCTTCAGGGGATGTTGAGAGTGGCAAGAAACTGCACACAATACCTGGTGGAAGGAAAGGTACAGAGGATCGGCATGTCGGACACACAGCCCATATCCTGTGTTTGGCTATATCATCAGATGGAAAATACTTGGTGAGAGACTCAGCATATCTTGCTTTTGCCAGTACTTTGTCAAAGTGTGACATCATATTTGTAACACATCTTTTTCTGAACATCTTTTAGGCCTCTGGAGACATGAACAAACTGATCATGATCTGGGAGGCAGAGACATGTAAACATCTGTATAAATTCACAGGACACAAAGGCCCTGTGTCGGTACGTTCTCCCTCTTTCTGTCTTAGTTGCATTCAGTCTTTTTTTTTCTTACGAATTGTGTAAATACAGTAGCTCTGAGGTTCTCTTGTAAGTGATATTAAATGTCTTTTCCTTCTCAGGGTCTTTCATTCAGGAAGGGAACTCATGATCTGTACAGCGCCTCTCACGATCGCTCAATAAAGGTGTGGAATGTGGACGAGAATGCATATGTGGAAACTCTGTGAGTAACTAATCAAGACATGATTTATCTCAGTTGCATTAGTTGTGAAAGCATGGTTTTAACTTTTAATCGTGACCCGCTGTAGCTTCGGGCACCAGGACGCCATCACAGGGCTGGATAGCCTGAGCCGCGAGCGCTGCGTGACAGCAGGAGGAAGGGACCGCTCAGTGAGGGTGTGGAAGATAGCTGAGGAATCTCAGCTGGTGTTTCACGGTCACGAGTGAGTGTCTGTATTTCCTCTGGGGTTTTTGTGTCCTGCTGTTTGTACCTTTTGAATTCAGATGTGTTGGTCAACTGTCAGATCTACATGGAAACACAGTGCTCTACGATAATTAAGTCAGGGTGTCTTCAGGTCCTTAAAAAGTTTTAAAATGTTTTAATTTTATAAATATTAGTCCTCAAAAGTGGCTTTAAACTGGCTCATAGCTCGATAACAGTTTGATAATAGCACTGACAATATAGTATGTCCCACTCTTTAAGAGAAAGCTGCTGGAAAAATATCTTAAAAAACAACTAAAAGTTCCCTCAGTCCGTTAGTCCCACTCATCTGAATCTTAAGCTCATGGCGAATCATTAGTCCCACCACAGCGCTCATTGGATCGATTGTTTTTCCAACTGAGACCCGCTGTTTCATGTCACGATGCCAGATGAATCAGTCAACTTGGCAGAGTGGGCGGATTCAAAGGTCTGGACCCAGGCAAGGCAAAATAAATAGTGTAGCAAAGGTTTCCAGAAAACGAAAAGAGTGAAACTGAATGTGCTGTGACAACATATCGTGACTCCTCTTTTACCTTCTGCTTAGTTTTTTAATGTCAAGTAGCTTTTATAAATAGTCCTGCAACTTTTGGATAGCAAATAGTTTTATTTGATTCTCCAAATGGCAGAATCCTCTCTTTAATATTCATCTATAAGTCGTACAGTTCCTGTGAGCCCACAGAAAGACTGACCTCATCTGTTACTTTGCCTTCTTACAGAGGCTCCATTGATTGTATCCAGCTAATAAATGAGGAGCACATGATAACAGGAGCTGATGATGGGTAAGAGTCCTATTCTCTCAGTTTTACAGATTTCCAACAGTGTCAACAGATTTCATTCATGTTTCTCTTCAGCGCCCTCTCTCTCAATTTTCTGAACGACCTCAGCTCTGTGTCTCTGTGGAGTGTCAACAAGAAGAAGCCTCTCAGCACAGTGAAGCAGGCTCACGGTTGCCATGGTGACGCGGGGCTGGAGCAGCCTCACTGGGTCGCTTCAGTAGCGGCGCTTCAGAACTCCGATACCGTCGCCTCAGGTGCCTCTGGCTGTGAGAGTCCTTCTTACCAGCGTTTTAATATCACACACACACACACTCACTTTATTGTGTGTGGGGTGCATCTAGTTAAAACTTTACAGTTGTCTTGTGTGATTACAGGTTTAATCATTATAATTAATAAACTTGGCACTGAATAAGTGACCTACACACTCATAAATAAAACAGTTGATGCTATTATGTTTAGCGTAGCTGTACTTAAAATGTTTTAAATGTTTATTTCCTGTGCAGGTTCGCACAACTCACAGGTGCAGCTGTGGAAGTGTGGCCAGAATTACCGTGGGCTGCAGCCGCTATTCAGTGTACCAGTGGTAAGCTCTTACTTCCCCCTCTTGTGTTGAATAAGGTCACATTTACATAACATGTTTTTAGCCACTTGTGCACATTATTTACATTTCTTCCTCTCCACACATCTGATTGTGCCTCCTCCTCTGCTTCCTCTCTCCCAGCCCGGGTTCGTCAACAGTCTGAAGTTTTCGAGCTCCGGTCAGTTCTTGGTGGCAGGAGTTGGACAGGAGCACAGGTAACCGGACTAATGATTATGTTTCCATAGAAACTGTCAGCAGAGGTCTTGTCAACTTAGTAAATGGCTGTGCAGGGTCGTGTCCAGTGAGTGAAATGTCCACTAGATGGCAGTGTTAGGCCATTGTTCAGCCTGCCACAGGTGGGGGGGAAAAAAAATAATTTTGCTGCACTCATGAGTGTTTTCAGAAGTGATAGTATTGTGAGATGACATTAGTTGATTGAAAAAAAAATTAATCTGGGAAATATACTTTTAGATAATGTCACTTTTTTCATTTAGAGAAATTCCCCCACAAAAAAACACATGTAATGATGGGTGTTTGTTTCTGGTTTACAGTGGATAATTAAAAAACTGCCACATACCTGAAAGTGTATTTAAAATGCAGACGGTACATCTTAACGAAAGACTGGCGATCTGGATTCCTCATATTTGAAATAGTCACTGTGTGGATGATATGCCAACCAATAAAACTCGCAGATGTAGTTTGAATTTTGATACTCATGAGAGTTTTTCTGCTGCCCAAAGTCAATAAAGCACTCTGATTACAACCAGAGATGACTGTGTGAACATAACCTGAAGACTAAAGTGACTCCAGTCATTTCCATAAACGTCTGTAAGAGGAATTCCCACAACCACTCTCATCAGTCAGACAGGGAGCTTTATCTGTGCTTGACTGTTTAATACGATTTCTCTGATCAGATCAGAGTTTGAAACTGTTTGATCCATAGCAAACATTTTAAATATTAAGTGGAGTCAGCTCGGATTTCAGTGTCTGATTGACAGTGATTTACTCTTTCCACACAGGTTTTAGACTCTGCTAAAAAGGTTAACTATCACCAAGGTTCAGTTGGAAATGACAGCTCTTGGTGGTGATCAGTGTAAAAAGTGATTGTAATGGCATAATAATCTGAAGTAGCAAAGAAGGTGGCTCCTTTATGTTAGATTTTGTTTATAGTGTGTCTTTCTTACCTCCTAAGTTTTTGTTTTTCTGCAGGTTGGGCCGATGGTGGAGACTAAAAGACGCCAAGAACGGGATCTATATTATTCCTCTCAAAAGGAAACCTCCAAATTCAGAGGAAGCCAGCAGGACTGAATAGTGAACTGTTAAGTGTCCTTTGTTTTGTACATTAAAGGTTTTATAACTGCCCGTGTATCTGTTTTTGTTTGTGTTCCTTTGAGACAAAATGAATATAAAATCTGAATTTTAAAAACCACCCAGAGTGATATTTGTACAGGTGTTCACTGTGAGGCTCTTTTGATTTTAGTTTTTTAAGAACCTTTAACAGCTTTAGTGAAGGAGTCGGCAGCGTGGGCAAGGTGGGCTCTGCCTGGACTGGGACACAAGTGAGAAAAGGCTGTACTGTAGGCGTCGGTACAACCTGTCTGAGCTGACCAAGACTCATTTCTTACCATCTTATTATTCAAACTTGTGTTTTTATTTTATTTTGTTTATTAAAAAATTTGTCACTTTATTACTTTTTCAGGGGCTAATTAAAGAACAAGATTCACGTGTTAAGTTTGGCTTCAGCGTTGTCTACATCGTCATGGTAACTGTTTCTGTTTAGCTTGTCAGAGCAAAACATAAAGTTCCAGTTAACGCTACAGGAGAATAACTCATGTCTGCTGGTGGAGAACCTGCAGAATCTTTTTAATCTTGTAAAATGTTGTTGACTGAAGAATATTAAAGGCAAGATTTTGTAATTTTTAACCTGGACTCTGCTTCCCCATGTTTTTCATCTAAGTGCCTCATGGAAACAACAGTCTCTTAAGTGGTCCAGTATTGAGAAAGAGGAAGCGCTGCAGCTGCGAAACAGGCTGCAATATGACCACTCGGGGCAATCGCGCACTGTCCGTGTACATCCACTAAAAGTGGTTGTTTTGCCACAGACAGGATCATGTTGTTGTGTCTGACAACAACATAGAAAGAACCCTACAGAGAAATAAAACATTTATCTTTACCTTTCACTTGATCCAGTTTGTTTATTATGGTCTTCCTGCAACAACTCAGCTCCAGATACTTTAGAGCAACACTTCACCCTGAGTGAGTCCCAGTTAGATACAATAACAAACACACCAGCTCAGTTGAAAAGGTAAAGACAAACATTTAATTCCTTTGTCACTTATAATAAGAATCTGAGCCACTCAGCAGCAACAAAAAGCACTTTTATTGGACCCACAACACAGTGTGCTATTGTGTTACGTTGCAGCCTGTTTTGAGGCTTCTGGCTACGGCGCTCCTGCTCAATACTGGAGCAATTTCAGAAATTGTTGTTGCCATTAGTCACTTAGACAGAAAAATATGGGAAAATAGAGTCCAGGTTGAAAAATAAAGTTTTCCTGTTACATTTGCCTTCAAAGGAATGTGACGAGCAATAAAATAAACTGCACAGTTAGACTTAAAAAAAGGCTTCTCACATGATTTGACTGTAGTTATCAATAAATAAAATGTGATAGTGATTTGTCAGCGTAACCCTGATGATGTTACATCAGTGACGATAATTTACATTACAGTGATGAGCATATTTAGTTGTGTGTTAGCACTTTCCTCTTTTTTCCTGCAGGTGTCCTCTTTGGCTTTGGTAGAGGTGTCACTGTCCTTTTCATGGTGCATCACTGTGTTCCGTCAGTCAATTACATATCAATAATTTAGTAGTTTTTATGTAAATGTTAGGAGGGAATACCGTTTCTATGATGTTAAAGTGAATTCTGGACGGGCTGCAGACAGTGGATCTGTAGAAACAGAGCAGGCAGACAGTGGGCAGGTTGTTTACAGATGGTTATTACAATTTAATATCAGGAAACTCCAATCAAGTATAAAAGATGAAAAAGTCCAACGTGGGTGAAGACATTTTATAGGCACTGTACATGTTGCACAAACTCAACTAGCAGTTACAGCAATAGTCTGAGCACCAAATACAAGTCTTTTATTAGAGCAGAATTCAAAATCATGCTGCACCTGTTGGAAAGAAACTCAAACTTAACATCATCAGCTGTTTGATTTATTCTGGTAAAAGTGGAGGACATTTTCTTTTAAGTTAATTTGGTTTTGAAGAGTAAAAACAAACACGCTGTTATTGTCTCTGAATAGCTGCATTTAGTTTGAACAGTGTCAAGAATCACAAGTGTGAACCCAAACACAGCAATATTTAATATTTTAATATTACAAAACATTTTATGTACATAAATTACAGGAAAGCACACACTGTTATACCAGTCTACACTTGAACACACGTCCTTTATATTGTCTAGTTGCCTACTTTTCATCACGTCCACTAACGTTAGTCACATATTGTGTAGGACAGAAGGGCTAAATTTTATTTCATAGCAATTCTTTTTTTTTTTGTCAATGTCTACAACATTTGGATATATTCACAGCACTGCAAGGACAAGATAAGAACAGCCTTTTTGTTTTTGTTTAACACTATTGCTTCACGACCACCCATTTGACAACAAGACTCTTTAGGACAAGGCACGGTGCATTTAAACACATCTATCTGTAAACCAAGGAGATCACAGCATATTAAATCTATACAAAAAAGGCTTTACAATTGATACATACTGCTCACTGTAGGAACGTCGTTTAGCTTTCACAGTTAAGAGTTACCCTCGCCACTGTCAGTCAGTCTACCCAGACAGAGTTATCTCTCCGCAGCATGTTGGATGGCATGGGGGCTGCGTCAAACACAGCCCTGTTTGATGGAGGGATGAGTGATGACGGGTTGGGTTCTTGTGCTTACAGAGGAATCTTTTTTTCTTTTATTTTGTTCACAAAGAGGACGTTGTAGAGTCCACCACCTCACGGCCGTTACAAACTGCTGGCACGTAGTTAGAGGCTGATCCTGGGAGGAAAAAAAACAGCGGTGTTAGCCAGGCAAAAGTTTTTCTCTGTTAGAAAACTAGACCAGAGAGTGGGTGCAGTTATGGAAATGGACAGTCAGAGGCTGTATGAGTCTGTGCTGGTGAGGGTCAGCTTCTTCCAGAGCTCCAAAAAAGTCGGCTCATATGCTCTCGGCAGTGGAGGAAAGTAACATTGCATTTTATGATACTTTACACTTCTACTCCGCTCATTACTGCACATTTGCTGAATTTAAAAGCTATTTCACTCGTTAAGGCTCAGCTGATAAATACATTAAAGATTAAACTACTCACCAGTATATAATACAGTAACGTGAAGCCTCAGCTCAACCAGATACAACAGTAAAATGCTACTTACATGTGAAAGCATCAGTAACAATAATCCAGTGTGATATAAAACAACACAACAATCACAGCAGCCGTTTGCCTGCATCACAAATACTTCTGTACTTTTACTTATGTAAGATTATGGAAGATTTTAACTGTTTTTGTGTCTAACTAAGTAGTGAATGGGAACAGCAAGTTTTAAACTGGACCAGTATTGAGTGAGAAGGCTGCAGCCGCCAGCCGTGAGACAGGCTGCACTGTAACCGCTCAGGGCAATATGCACTGTCAACGTGCGTTCACTAAAAGTGCTTGTTTTGCCACTGACAGGCTCAGATAGTTATTTTAAGTGTCTGACATAACAGAAAAGAAACACCCTTAGTTCAAAGAATAAGATCATTTGGTAACACTTTACTTGAAGGTATCTACATAAGGGTGACATGACACTGTCATAACTATGACATGACACTGTCATGAACGTGTCATAAACATTATGCACATGTCATAAACATTTATGACTGCTGTCATTAACTGTCATTCAGGTTTCGTAATGACAAGTTGATGTCCTTATTATGACAACTTGACATTAGCCAGGATGACATTACCAGAAGATGTCTTTGTGTCAATCATTATGTCAACTTGTCATAAACACAAAAAGAGGTGCATTTCTTGTTAATGTCAAGTTGTCATGACAAAGACAACTTCTGGTAATGTCACTTTGATTAATGTCAGGTTGTCATAATCAAGACAACCCAAACAATTGTAATTGTAATTGTCATTACAAAAACCGAATGACACTTAATGACAGCAGTCATAAATGTTTATGACATGTACATAATGTTCATGACCGTGTCATGTCATAGTTATGACAGTGTCATGTCACTCTTACGTAGATACCTTCAAGTAAAGTGTTACTGATTATTTTTGTATAACCAGAAACAGCCCCGAAATCGCCATCGCCAAACACACCAGACTCCATTTAAATAAACAGTTATTTTATCTTCATAGAAAACACTTTCAAAGTTGTCAAGAACGAAATAAAACTAAACAAAAAACAAAACTAAACAAAAAAAACATCTTGGTTCGTCCTTCTAACAATCTCCAGCCCTGATTTGTATGAAATACACTCACCCAGTTAGATGTGACAATATGCTGGCTCTATACACCCTAAAATTATTGTTTATTTAAATGTAGTCTGGTTGCTTTGGCGATAGAGATTTCAGGGCTGTTTCTGGCTGAACATAGTGGTCTGTCTCAGCAGGGATTCCTTCTAGATAGTTGTCAGACACTTATGATAACAATCTGAGCCTGTCAGTGGCAACAACAAGCATTTAGTGAACATAAACTGAGGATGTGCACCATCTTGAGTGGGTACATCTCAGCCTGTTTCATGCTTCATTAGTCTCTTAGATGCAAAAACATGGGAAAATAGGGTCCAAGTTGAAAATATTGAGAGCAGTGGTGGTCCTAGCACATTTGGTGCCACGAGCAAGCCTCTCTCCCTCCCCCAAAACTCATTTTTACTGAACAGAGCTTGAACACTTCCATTGTAAATCAATGCAACCTCCATGAGCTGTTCATTGCAGCGCTTATGTTGTTTTGACATGATAACAATATTGCGTGTTTCACGATTCACATGATGTCGGACAACTCGCCCATCTCTCCAAGAGAACAGGTAAAATGGGGAGGGGGGCCAGGGGGGCAGCAGGAAGCCGGAAGAAAAGGACTCTCTATTATTTAGTAGGCTTTACTATGTAGTTATGTTGTTGTGGCCTTATGTAATATTTCAAAATAACTGTAGTAATAGTATCAGTTCTTATATCAGCTTTTTCTTCCCCCATTTGTGGCGCCCCTCAAGCATTCGTCTATACTGCCTATGCCATGCGCCGGCGCTGATTGAAAGCTCTGAATACTTTCTCCACCTCTGACTCTCAATCATTACATCAAACATTAATTTCAGATGACTAAGATGTATTTAGTCTGGGTGAAGCAATAACAGTTAAACTAGCCTTTGAGCTTTTAAATTAGCAGTCCTCAAATTGTGGGGTGCCCTCCCTGGGGAGGCAAAGAGCCACTGCAGGTGGGGTGTGGATGACCAGGGGAAAACTATGAAGTAAAACAAAAATAAATATAAAAATGAATATCATATATGTAGGGAAAATAAACAAAAGTTTGTTAATGCTTTAGTGCTCACCTTTATTTCACTAAAATTCAACATCCTGTCTTATTAGTTTCTTCCTCACTTGTTGTTAATGATTGATAAGAAAAAAAAAATGTTGGGTGTGTTGGGTGGGGGCTTCAAACTCTGAAAGAGTAAAAGTAACACTCTGTTCAAACTGTATGTGTCTGTGTTTATTTATGAAGTTGGCACTGTGAATTAGCCGCCAGTTTATTAATGAGCTTTAGATTAGACTCACTCTTATCCGACAAGAAAAGAAATGTAATGACTGGATTTTTAATTGCTTAGTCACACTGACACAAAACCGGAGGGGAAAAAGAAATTTTTAATATTGTTTGATTTCTTACTGT